GACATGAATTGGTCCAGACTAGTGAAAAGTATTTATCACAGTTCCTCACTTTAAATAAATAGATGTAGAGCTGAGGTAATTCTCACACACAAGAAAGCATATAAAATTGTCCCCATGATATAAAAATATTTCAGAATCATTTCTTGGGCCATAAAGCCAATCCAACAGTGGAAAGCATGTGTTCTGCTGTGTAACACTAACATAGCTATCTCATTTGGTCATGTGCAAATGAATACAATTTTTTTTTTAAAGAACTATTTTTTTTTTTTTAGATTTATTTATTTATACAAGCACTGAGGCACAGTCAGAAGCGCGGGACGGTGAGAGAATTCACCAGAGCCAGAGACGGGAACAGAACAGGCAGACTGACGAAATACACTGCTGAGGGGGGAGCAGCGGGCGCGGCGGGAGAAGTCTGTCACGCCATGTGGGACTCTCGCCAGTGGCCGGGGATCGAACCAGCGCTGCAGAGGCTGAGGGCAGCTTCACAGCCCAGCGCTCAACCGCTGCGCCACCAGGGGAGGCCCCTGAATGCAAATTTTTTATATCCAAGTTGTCAAGATTCAGAATTTCCAGAGAAAGTTTAGGGTATAGGTGTAATCTACTGAAAGAACCTTATATTTCAACTGGAAATGCATTTAAAAATAACTAATTATCTAGAATGCATTAAACTGATTTCTAATTTGAAGAGTTGTAGCATACATATACGTATATGTATGTATGAATATACATATATAGATATACACATATAGCATATACATATATAGATATTTTAAATAGTTACTTGTAGGAACTAATAACTGCCATTTACAAAGTAGATAATTTAAGAGGACAATTTTACTATTAAATTAACCTTAAATTTCTAAATTTAAAATTATACATACCACTTGCAAACAGTAAATATATTAAAAGTTCTTAGAAAGTCGGTCTCTAACTCTTATATCTTAAAAGATTTTCATACCTTTTGCTTCATAGGAGTAAACTTCAACCCCAGGTGGACTGAAAAAAATTAGTAGATTCTAAATTAAATGAATTTTTACTTTTTCAATCTAGATTGGCTTCCATCATAGTCTTATTCTATGGTTCTTCATTCCACTATTTGTCCTGAAGCCATCTACTTTCCCCCATTATTGCCATATTTAAGTACCAAAAGTAAGAACTTAAAGCTCTAGTTTTGTGTCTGTGACTGTTGAACAATCTTCCCTCTTATTTAAACCTCCAAATTATCTCTAAGAATTATATTAAGAATTCACTAAATTTCTAGTAATTTCCAAACGAGAACAGGTCTTAAGTTTTTTTTCCTTTTCAAAATAATCTTTAAGCTGATTTTAAGATTATTAATTTTAAAATCACATCACTAATTTCCTCTAAAATGCTTTTTTCATGACCAATGCATAGATAACTACCCAAACATTAAAAAAATTCAAAATTTTATTGACTATTATAATATGCAATAAATATGCATATATATAATAAATATACATATAAGAAAACAATTAAGAATAGTTAACTATACATTCTGGCACCAACATTGCTTTACTATTCAAATCAAAATGCAGTAGTCTTCACATTTGTTACCATGGACTTCAAAAGAATAATCTACATTTCTAAAAAGCTATTTATGTAGAAAGACAAAAGAGAAAATAATTAAGCTGGAGTGTTTCCATATTATTGTCTTTTGGGGTCCGGGCAGCAGAACCATGATACAGGTGAAGAAGTACCATGGGCAGTTTCCAGGAAATGTGATTCAAGCTAGTGAACAAAAAGTTGACCTGTGAATACATTAACTGGACTCAAAAAAAGGATGTTAACTACAGGGTCTCTGACTTCGGAGAGTGAACAAGGGCGATGAGCTAAAATGGCAGCATCAGTGTAGGTGATTTATAAAACAGTACTTTTCAACACATAGGAAGAGGCTGAGGACACCCATTGCTCCCGCCTTTTAGAGAGGATCGCTGTTCATTGTTTGGAATGGTTCTTTACTTGAAGACCATCTTTCTCCATAGGGGATCACGTCTTTTAACTGTATCTCATTTATTCTTCTCAGTGTGCATCAAATCCAGTTTCAGAGGTTATGACTATACCTTTCAAAGCCTAACTCCCTCTGCAGAATCACTGAGCAGTTAGCTCATCCAGTTCCTACTCCATATCAAACTCAGCTAAGATTCCTTGCTATTGGGCTTCTTACTATATTTGATAGGCAGAGCTATTCAAAGTATTTATTGACTACTACAATATGCAATAAAATGTAATTTAAGAAACAACTCTGTAAAATAAGGAACATGTCTTTAAATGTTTTAATTTTTTAAATATAGTATTATTTGGAAGTTTTGACATATAAGAATAAAGTTGTTCTATATTAGTGGGTGATTTCTAATCACCAATGACCATATATTAATGTTTTGTTTTAAAGTGGCATAGACAAATGACTGACATTTACTTGAACTATATTCTTATTTCCTTTCAATAAAAAAATCAAATTCTTATCAAAATCTTCTTGGCAAAAAATTACTAACAAATCCACTTAAAAAAGTGAGAGGAAATCTCTTCTTGCAAAGTATCTTGGAAAGACAGGAAGTATTCTATTAGTTACACACACTTTTTGGATGTTTTAACTTCTATAATGATTGGCATCCAGAGAAGCCTTCTTTCAATTTTCTAACAGCAGTAAAAAAAAATCTATTACCATTATGTACAAAGGTAAGGTGCTTCTAACAACAACTGGTAAATATTTTCTTAGTGATCAAGCTATACTTTTAAAAATTTTAACTTGTTTCTGAATGTTTTCTTTAATGAGAGCTTGGACTTCCAAGTCATCCTTTCCAGAGAAAGCAAGTTACTTTTTTTTCCTTCCTTTTTTTAAGCAGAGCTGGATGGGGAACATCTCCATTTTTGATAGGATGGTTTTTAAGGGATTTCTGCTCTGGAAAGGCATTATTCCAAGTCACACTGCTAGTGGTGTGGTCTTTATTGTGGTTAAAATTTTAAATTGAAGATGAGTACTTACCATCAAAGAGAACATAAACTTCAGGACTTTTATGTTACAAAGATTCTACACATATTGACATAATGTGCTTGTGATCAAGAACTCTATTTTGAAACAAGCTTAAATACCGTATCTAGAAATAAGTGACTGGCAAACAGGTAATTTGTGGCCCTTCTACATTTTACAGTGAAGCCAATAAAATCTTTTTAAAAGAATAAGTTCCAACTAGCAAACTCAGTAAGATTAGCAAAAACTGAGGACAACAGAAGTATCAGCTAAATCAAGCCAAATACATTACTCTATACTACTACATACTGCACTACAATGGTTTTCAATTTTTACTTTGTATTTCCCAGCAACTCAGAGAAAACATGATCACTTTTCAAATTCTACTTACTGTATCTCAAAGAATGTACTGAGTAAAATGCTCAGTTGCCGGATTTTGTGTTTGCAATCCATCAAGTTACAATATTAAGTTACTAGTTTCTTCCCCAGTGCAAGCATTCTGTGTGAGTGTTTTATTTACATTCTGTCACTTTTTATTTCCTCCTAAACTTTATATGTTCAAGAATGAAAACTGTATTGGTGTTATGTAACAGTATTTCAAATTTGCTACATACATATTGGTTTAATCTCTCCCTTGAACCTTTGTCCCTGAATAATAAATACAACATATCCAAAAAAAAGAAAAAGAAAAAGCTGTCTTGGAGTGAGCGTATGGAAGAAGAGCGTGGAAGCGTAGAAATAAAAGCACTGAAAAACAATTGTGTGGAAGGATAGATGTGTTTGTCCTCCTTGGCAACAACCACGGTGATTTATTAAGACATAGGAAGCCAACCTAGTACATGACAAGGTCCTGGGCCTGGCCATAAGTTGGCCACAAGGTGGGAATTAAGGCTTTCAGGTCTCGGTACGACGACTATGATTTCAAAACAAAACAAAAACAAACAAACAAACAAAAACCCCAAAGCAAGCAGAGCGAAAAACCTGGAGAAAGTGCTCCGAATAGAGCCACTTCGGCAATCTAATCTGAAGCTAATGACTCAGGTGGACGATTAGAATAAACTGTGCGCTGTTGTCTTTGACCGGGTCTGTAAGGTCCACACTCATGTTTGGCTCAGAAAACTAGGAGTTATTAGCATCTTCTTCTTCCACTTTTCAATATTCAACATATTCAGCAACCGGTCTTAATCCACGGTCTTCATTCATTTATTGACTAAGTAAGATCCCGGGTGCCTCTTGTGCTCCTTCCTTCCAGGCTGACCTCACATGACAGCAACTGAACTGCCCCTCCGAGGAGAGGGGTCGAGACCGCGAAGTCAGTCCCCCGACTGTGCACGCGTCTTGCTTTTATTTACTTATTTATTCGCCCGCCGACGACGGCAGCGGCTGGACGTGGCCGAGGCGGGAGGCGGGAGGCGAAGGGGCGCGCGGGGCCGTGAACCGCGGCCCGGGGTGGGCGCCGCGGCGGAGGTGGGGGGCAGCGGTCCCCCTCCCCCAGCCCCAGAAAACGACCAGCCCCTCCCCCGCCCTGCACCCCTGACCCCTCCCCCTCGCCCCTCCGCCTTTCATCCTCCCGCCCGCTGGGCCCCCCGACCTCGCGCGCCCGCCTCCTTCCGCGAGCCCGGCCGGGAGCTGCCCCCGGCGCGCGGAGGACCCGACCCGACCCCGCCGGCCGCGCCCCTCCCCCTCGGGTAACGCACCTGCGGCCCCGCCCCCGGCCAAACGCGGAGGCAACGGCGGGCTGGCGAGGCCCAGCGGCTCGGCCCCGGAGGCGCAGTCACCTTCCCTTCCCACGCCATTCCGCCCGCCCCCCTCGCGCGGCCGCCGAGCAGCAGCCGCGCTCCTCGGTCGCCCCGAAATCTAAAGGGGTCCGTCTCCGGCACCACAACCAAATGGCTGAGCCTCCCTGGCCGGCTGCGCAGCCCGCCCATTGGTCCCTTCCCCCCGCCGCCGCCCCCATTGGCTGTTGCCCGGAGACCCTCGGCGGCGATTGGCTGCAGCGGCTGCCGCTCACCCGCGGGGCCGCAGATCCCGCCCCCACGGCGATCAGGTTAGTGTGCGCCGCGGGTGCTGGGGGCTCGAGAACCGAGCGGAGCTGGTTGAGCCTTCAAAGTCCTAAAACGCGCGGCCGTGGGTTTGGGGTTTATTGATTGAATTCCGCCGGCGCGGGAGCCTCTGCAGCGAGAGAGCGCGAGAGATGGAGATGGACAAACGGATTCATTTAGAGCTGCGGAACAGGACGCCCTCTGAGGTGAGCATTTGCCAAAAATATCCCCGTCGGTCCATTCTCCGACTTTGTGTGTGTGTGTGTGCGCGTTGGAGGGGAGGCACTTTTTTTGAGGGTGGGGGGAGAGGCGCCCGGGAGGTGCGGGTTCGGGGGTCGGACTGCAAATGCATGGCCAGGCTGGGGGGTTGCAATGCCATCCGAGCAGGTTCCGGCGGCCGCCGCCGCTGCCCTTGGTGTGTGACTACCTGTGCGTGTGCTCCCGCGTGTGCGAGTGTGGGTGCGAGAGTGTGCGTGCGAGTGTGCACCCACCGGGGCCGGCGGGCGCACGCGCTGGGTCGGGGAGAAGGAGGCAGAATCACCCTCTGGGCTCGCTGCTCCCGTGACTCCGTCTGGGGGGAAGATGAACGAGGCAGGGGGAGGAGAGGGGCTGCCTCCTGGGCTGAACAACAAAAAAAAAGGGGGTTTCTGTGTTATAGATGGAGCCCCCCCTGCGCCCCCTCCCGCGCCGCCCCCCTCCCGCTCTCTCACTCGCACACACACAATAAGTTTTGGGCTTCGCGAGTCCGGTTTAGTTTCTGACAAATGTGGGCCGCGGCCCCCGGGGAGAGCGCGCGGGGAGGGGGCTGCCGCGGAGTTGGGAAGGGCTCGAGTTTAAAGTGCGTCTTCATTTCTTTGCAGTGATGAGGCGAGAGACGGGGGAGCCATATTTGTAACTTTGTAGTGTTCGTGAACGCGCCCTTTCTCTCCCTCCCTCCTTTCTCTGCCTCCCTGCGTCTCCTCTTTCTCCCTCACTCTTTCCACCCCACCTTCGGGCCAGATGCTGAGGTTCCTCCCGTTCCTTCCGAAGGGAGGATAAATGGGCAGAAGCGGGGGGGGGTGGGGTGGGGGGATTTTCGAACGGGCAGAGGCTCCGAGGCTCCCCGCGCCTCCCCACCTAGCGCGATCGCGGTTGCAAGTTACCCGAAGGCTGCGCCCCGGTCCCCCCTCGCCCCGACTCCTTCCGGCCCCCCGAGGATGCCAGCCTGGGCGCCCCGGGGTCCCTCGGCACGTCTTTCTCCGGGGTGGGCGCCTCGGCGGCCATTCGGCACCCGGCTAATAAACGGGCACCGGAAACTTTGGCAGGACGCGAGCTGCCCAGCGCTGGTGCCCGCGGTGGGTACCGGCCGCGTCCAGATTTCTGCGGGCTCCGCAGCCCCGCAGCCCGGGATGGGAGTTCGCCCGCTCGTCGCCGCTCTGGGTCGGGCAGCGGCGGGAGCAGGGCCGGGGGAAACTTGCCCGGTGGGCACCGGGAGAGGCCGCGACGGAAGCCCACCCCCGAGGAGGGGGAAGGTGAGGGTGGGTTACTCGGACGCTCGTTTTTATTCCTGTCTGCCTCTCGCTCTCCAAAGTGTTTTATGTGAGTTGGCGGCTCCGCGGCGGAGCCTCCGCGTCTGGGGCGGGGACGCCGGCCGAGTCCTCGCTGGCCCCTCGGAGGACCCGCGGGGCGCGGGCGCGAGGACACCCCCGCCCCCCGCCTCGAGGGCCGGCCCTGGAGTTTGGGGGGCACCGCGCGCCGACCTGACGCCCCTCTCGCCCCTCAAGCCCCGAATCCCTGGCGGAGGCAGGCCTCGCTTCCTCTTTTCTCTAGTTCTTCCCCTAAACCTGAGTGAGACTTTTGAAAACAAGATCCTTTTTGTGCCCCCCGCCCCCCCGCGCAGCTGTGGACTGGAGACGTGCGGCGCCTTATGGCGCGCAGGGCCGGGAGCGGGGCGGCGGGGGGAGGGAGCGAGGGGGCGCCCGCGGGAGCGGGCAGGAGTTCCGCCAACAATTTGCCGGCGGGCTGCCTTTCTCCGGCCGGCCGTGCCCGCGCCGGCCCCCCGGGCCCGAGGCCGGGGGGTCTGGGTGTGGTGGTGGGGGAGGGGGCGGGCGCCGCGGTCTTCCCGCGTACTTTCCGGAAGCCCCCCGCGCCGAGGGGGAAGGGCGCCCGCGGGGGGCCGGGGTCGCGGCGGGCGGGTGTGGGGGCGCGGCTCGCCGGGCCGGCCCCGTCCCCGCCGCCGGCCAACGGGGAGCGAGAGCCGAAGCGGGTCGAACCGGCTCTTTAAACTTCCCCGAGTGTGTGCTGGGGGAGGGGCGCGCGCCGCGCCGAACTGGGAGCGATTTCTCACGCTTCGCCCCCTCGCCGCGGAGTCTCGCTGCCCACACGCCTGCCCCCGGCCTCGAGGAGGGGTGGGGCGGAGGGGGCCCTCTCCGCACCTTTGGGGAGGGGGGGAGAACGCGAGATAATGGGGGACAAAAGGGGTGGGGGAGGAGGAACTGTTTTTTTTTTAAGCGGTCTGAAAACAAATAGCTCCGGGAGAGCGCCCCCTGCGCCCCTCCCCGCCGCGCTCCCCCCGGGGCCCCCACACACCCACCTTCGGAGCCTCTCCCAACTCTGATCCGGGGGCTGGTGGCCACGCCGCGACGCCGAAATAGGACGAGCAGCCATGTTTCCCGGGGCTCGCGCGGCCCGCCCCGCCCCTCCCCCACCGCGCTGCCGGCGCCGAGCGCGGGGCTCCGACTGCGGGCGCAGCGCTCCATGCGGCGCGGGGCGCGGGGCGCGGGCGAGCGCCGGGGTGGCGGGCCTCGTGCGCGCGGGCCGGGGCGCAGCGGCGCCGAGCTGGCCCCTGGGCGGGCCTTCGGCTTCCCGAGCTGCTTTGGAGCTCAAGGTGTTTTGCTTATTATTATTTTTTTAATAGCCAGGTCCGCGGAGGCCAAGCCCGGAGGGCGCCGAAGTGTTATCGGGGGGCCGTGGCGGCCACCAGGGCCCGACTCGCCTGTGGCACAACTGCCGGGCGCCGGGCTGCCATTTTGTCACCGTGGCTGTTGTCGCTGTGGGGGGGGGGAGCGGAGTCTTGCGCCATCGCCCCGACGGTCCTAGACGTGGAGGCGGCGAGCGGAGCCGGCTCTGGGGACCCCCACCCCTCCCCGGTTGTGCTCCGGGCCCTGACGTGGGTTCCTTCTCGAGTCAAAGGCAGGAGATTTTGCTCGAGCGTGGCCGTGGCCGATTCTTGCGGGGAGGGGGGCAGTGATCCTCTCGGCAAGCGCTCCCACCCATCGCGCTCCCTGCGCCCCCGCCCCTCTGCTCGCGCATTTTGCCCTTCCTCCTGCAAGCGTTTTAGCCGTTGTTAAATGGGGCCCTAAAGACGAACTCGATCGCCCTAGTGTTTGCTCTTTCGGCAGAGCTGAGAGAAGGGGGTGGAGGTAGAAAGGAAACAGGAGGTGTCTTGGCGGGGGGTGAGGGGGGTGCGCTCCAGACTAGCGGCCCTGACTGAATCCAAGGACAGCAGCCGCTTACCCGGGAGGGACGAGTTGTCGAGGCGTTGGGGAAACGCCCTCTGGGGCTGGGCTCTCCTGGAAGGTAGGTCGCGCTCCGGGTTTCAGGTGGGTGTTGCAGCGCCCTGCGGGCTTCTGGGGGGAGGACCCCCCCCCCTTGCTCTTCCTCTGCTCCTCCCCTTTTAATTTTTTCCTAGGGGAAGACAACTCCAGTAGTAAATGTAACCCGAAACGGAAAAGAGAAGGGAATTAAGCTTCGCTTTTTTAAAAAAAAAAGTAAATGATGTCTTTCTGCCGACCGCATTTCTCTGGCTGCTGAGCGAGGCAAGGTGTCCCGCCACATGCATCTCTGGGACTTTTTAAAAGCTGACATCAACGCTTGTTAAGCCTGTTACTGGTTAAACTGTGGTGTCTGCGTGGAGACTAGTTTTCATGGCAGTGCCCGCAAAGGCTGCCCAGGGAGCCAGGTTTAACTTTGACCTTTGGAATACATCGCATGATGTTTTCCAGACTGACTGCCTAATTGGGTTCAAGCAGCCAGATATTAACTCCAGTTTATGCAAGCCAACAGGGATCCACAGGCAGAAAATGGTGCATGGGCCTCTGTAGAGCCACGGACAGTTGTGGTTTTGTTTTTGTTTTTTTTCTGGATTGCTGCTGCAGACGGTAGTTTAGAGTCTGAGGACTCGGGATAGGCAAGTTGGACTCACAGGGACCACCTGAGTTTGAATTCCCCTTGCCACAAGTAGTTAAGATATGTTAACCTGCTTCTGATCTCAGGCAGGTTAACTTAACCTACCTGTGAACATTGGTTTCCTCACCTCTAAAACGGGAATAATAATCCTGTGTAATGAGTAAGTGACAAAACTGGCTTGATGGGGCCCTCAGGTGCTTAGTATATAATAGTGTTATTCTCTGAGAGATATAGCGGTGCATTGAAGCTCAGGTTTGAGCTTCTCTACTGTTGAAAATAAGAACAATTACTAATAGCTGATACAGAGCACCCATGCTATGCGAGGACCAGTTGTAAATGGATTATACATACCAATTAATTTAGGTCCTATTATTATCCTCATATTACACCCAAGGAAAAGGAGGATTAGAGAGGTTAGCAGAGCCAGTCTGAATGCTCTGCCTCTACCCTCTACTGCCTCTGGTGAAGCACCTGCTTCTGTAAGATACCAAGGGAAACAGCTTTTCTTCTGTGACCGAAAAGGTGCGGCCTTTTGAAAGAATGAGTTTCCTGTCCTCGAAGGTATTAAAATGAAGACTGGATAGCCTTCTCTTTGAAGATATTGAGGGGAGTGGCCAGGACCAGAACCTCTGTGGACTGTCATTTTGAGGAGGAAACCATATACTTTGTGATTTGGGCTTAGTACATCATACTGGGTTAGGCTGAAACTATAATCTGGCAGCATAGGTGTTGGGGGACACATTTGGGTAATGTGAAGACAAGCAGGAGCCATTCTTACACTGTGGTTTGTATGTGATCATGTGTAATGCTTCCCCACCCCCCCCCATTTTTATTAGTCTCATCCACAACCAAAATACTGAACAGAATTGGCATGTCCTTGGTATCCAGGATGTTGAGTATAATGATAACACTGCATGGATCATCTCACTTAATCCCCAACAGCTCCTGGCTAGACCAAGCAGAGTGACATCCTCCCTGTTGGGAGAGTGAATCATGGAGGTTGCGTCCTCAACATGGTCCATTGCCATAGTCACCCAGAGAACATGTATAATGCAGAGTCCTGGCTCTCCCATCTCCGGACATTGGTTTAGCACAGGCATAGCCAAATTGCTGGCGAACTGCCTGTTTTGTATCATGAACTGAGACAATTTGTACATGTAAACATTGTGATCAATTTGATATGGAACGTTTAAAATTGAATCTATATTAAGTGAAACATTATCCCCTCCCAGAGAATTCCACTTGTTTTGTTAGAGTTTTGTTACCTAAAAATATTGTACTCATGTATTTTGATTTTCAGTTATAGATTTTGTATTTCATCAATAAAAGAATAGTGGAAATGTATTTTCACATAAAAGTTGCTGGTGCAGTATTGTTAGGTTTGAATACTGTCTGACCTGTTATAGACAAAAATTGATGATCCCTGGCTTAGTAGATTGCAGGGTAGGATCCGGGGATTGGTCTTTTTTTTTTTTTTTTTTTTAAGATTTTTTATTGTTTTTTTATTAAGCATGTGTCAAGTCATTTACCTGTGTGGTGCTTTATTCAAGTATTTTTGTGACATTGAAGTAGTGGATATCTAGTGGAAATCGGCCTCAGATTAATCCAAAACTGTCCATGAGAAAAGAAATGGGGGCCTCCCTGTTGGCCTAAGAGTTAAGTCTCAGTGCTATCTTTGCTGTGGCCATGGAGCTAACCCACATATGGCACAGCAGACCTCTCCTGTCCTCCTGTCTCACCCACTGCTCCCCTCAGCAGTGTATTTCAGTAGATCTCCCTGTTCTGTGCCCTACTGTGTATCTGGTGAATCCTTACACACACACACACGCACACCCCACCTCAGTTCTTCTATTAAAAAAAAAATGGGGCTTTTTACTGGTTCAGCATGAAACATCCCTTCGATCTAGAAATTCATCTGGGTAACCAACTGAAATTCTTTATCTTGTGTACTAAGAATATTTCAAAAGCATTTTTGTATATCTAATACTCTTAAATTTGAGGTATCTTGTCAGAGCTAGTGGGGAAGAGCTTTGACCTGTACTGGCTGGGCTACGAGGCCTCTGAGGCCAGTGAGAAAGTGCAGCAACTATGTACCCCACAGCTGGTATCAGACCCCAGTGCAGAGATCATAAGTGACTTTAAGTCTCACCACCCTTAACCTCTACCTGAGCTGATGAGCAGGAGTGGGTGTGATGTTTGCTGCCGTCCCCACTACTCCCCTGTTTTGACCTGTCCACTCCTTCCACCTTTCCCCCATCATCACTGCCCTTCTCCCCACTGAGTTGAGAGACAGGGACCATGACTCTAAATCTTACAATAATTTCAAATAGAATTACATAACGAATGATAAATACCCAGCAGCGATGTTTTCATTAAAGAAGCGGAGTCTGGCAGGGATGGAAAATTGTGAAGGCATCTGTTACTCAAAACTTCTCATTTAGAAAAATTGGTTTGAAACTAGATGCACAAAACCCCATGGCCCTGGGTCACCCTCCCCTACGTGGAGGGGAAACAGCCTTCTTGTATAGAACCAGTCCTCCTGTTCATAGAAAGACTGTGACAAGATAAAATATCTTTATTCTACCACACCAGACTCTGTCCTGTGCCTACTGGGCCCCAGCCTGCAACCCCCCATGTTTTTGTACAGATTTATTCTGTTCTAGTTTCATAGCTGCCCAGGTATACAGACTCCTCTACCAAAACGTGCTCTAGGCAGCAGATCTAAAAGATCAGCTTACTTTCTCTGCTGTCACTCTGCTGTGGATTCAAGTCAAGGCTGTCTTTCCCAGAGATGTTTGCATTTGGAGATTCCGGTTTGGTGAGGAAATTATCAGAGCATTATTAGAGACTTGGGTGCCCTTCTCTGCTTTACTAAGAAGTAACTTGGACAAGTTGTGGGGCCTCTTGGAGCCTCTTGTTTTCTCTCCTCTAAAATGGGATTGTTCAGTTAGATCAGTGACCTTCAAACTTTCGATCCTCACAGTAAGAGATGGGTTTTATACTACTACTCAGTATGGGGTGTGCGCGTGTGTGCGTGCGCGTGTGTGTGTATGAGATTGATGGGAAACTGCCAACATAAAATAATTTCATTTTTTAATAAAGATGCTGGCTTTGACCCATAAATTGATTTCATTTCTTGTTAATATTCAAAAGACAAATATAAAGATTCCTTCACGCATAAATGTTGTGGTTTGACTTGGGGGTTGGGGGACATTTGGAGCCTTGTGAATTCTTCCCCGAGGGTCAATAGTGATTTCTCCCACTTTTAAGCCTGCTCATTTCTGGGTCCCATGTTCTTAAGCTGCTCTCCTTACTTCTAGGTCTTGCCCAACCCAAACCTTCTCACGGCATTGAGGAATCATCATCCTAAATTCCTACCCTGGATGGATGCCTTCCAACATTCCTGGTTGTGCCAGTGGCCCTCAGCCAGCCATGTTCTTCCACCCCCTTCTCTACCCTCATCAGCCACTGCCCTCCATCCTACAGTGTGCT